TCTCTCTCTCTCTCTCTGGGGTGTGGTAGCCAATCAAGGGCTTGTACATTCACAGCAACAGTCGAGGTCGGACTGGAACATTATTTATTGTTATTGTTGTTGGCACACAGTGTACACACACACACACAAACCACCACCAATCTCCTTTTCCCCTTCCTCTCCCAGATCCAAACAGACACACTTTAACAGCCAAACACACACACACAGGCACTTTTACAAGAACACAAGGACAAATACAAACACATACATGGTACACACACACACCAACACATACATATACTTGCACGCAAAGACACTTAACACTTAAGAGCAAATGCACACATAAAACAAAAAGTGAACCTCACACCGATAATGCACACACACATTTACACGCATCCAAGTCAACAAACAAGGCAACACACACTGTTAAAACAAATATGTAAAGACTCAAAAAGCACTAAAAAGACACGGACACATAAAAAGGGATTCCACACACGGCAAATACACACATTAAACAAAAAAACACACATTAACACACCTCACACATATCCACAAAAACACATTCACACAGTTCTGATAACGCTTGCCACAAAAATCCAGTGGAACCAATTACAGCTCCGCTCGACTGGCAAATCAGCCCTCAGTTTTAACCTTTTCCTGCCAGAGAGCAAGGAGAACAAAGACGGACTTCTTCTCTGATAAAAAAAAATTAGCACTCCTGAGGCACTGGATGTACATATTATCTATTTATACTGAAGACACCTTCCTTATCGTTTCTGAAGGGACACACAGAGGGGTTGAGAGGAGCTGCATTCAAGGCCTCTCTGTCCTCGCAGACAGGAAGTAGAACATGATGTTTGAGTGACACCAGCAAGGCTACATCAAGGTTGCTGAATGAACAGTTGTGTGTGTATTTACACAGTACCACAAACGAAGTAAGAGATTAACTACAAATCACATATAAGTTACATTACTTCTGACTATTTTCATACAAATCATTGTCATTTTTGAGCTGATTCTCTTCATTTCAAAGTAACCAGTCAACCCTTTTGGTAATGCAGTTGCTAGAGGAGACTATTTTGAAAACTGTCAATGTTGGTGCAATCAAGAACGAGCGAACATCTCAGGCTTAAAGGGGAACTTTGGCAGAT